TTAATTGTCCTCACTGCCAGAAAGTTTCTCCTCAGTTCTAAGTTGCTTCTCTCCTTGATTAGTTTCCATCCATTGCTTCTTGTCCTGCCCTCAGGTGCTTTGGAGAATAGTTTGACTCCCTCTTCTTTGTGGCAACCCCTGAGATATCGGAACACTGCTATCACTTTACACCTAGTCCTTCTCTTTTTTAGACTAAGCTTATCCAGTCCCCGCAACCATTTATCAGGCTGAACTTGAAAATGGAGCCTCCATATCTTGTGGCAGCCTACCTTAGGCAACCTTGGCAATGTTTTTGAAACTTGGTAATTATAAGATCTCTGAACTTTCAATTCCCAGAATTCCCCAGCTGACAGTAACTTCTGGGAGTTGAAGTCCACACAACTTAAAATTACAAGGTTGGGAAACACTGATGTAAGATTCCAACTTCCTGCCTTATATCCCCATACGTCAAAAAAATGGGGAGACACACAAAAGTTGGATCCCACCCATTTTTAAGACATCTTGGTTCCCCCAAAACAGTATTGTGTCTGATTAATGAGCAAGTTAGTTGTCCTCTCTTGACCCAAAGGAACATTTAAGAAAAAGTTATTTTTGCGTAAGTCATGATGATTGTCAAGAGTGTGTACAGTGTGACTACTATTTTGAGACAACTCAGGAGCAACCTACAGTATATAGAGGTTTTGTCTTTCAAACAGTGGTTTATCTACAAGGCATATATACATACATGTACTAGGCAAAGTCAGGCAAGCAATCATCAACTACAGCACGGAAACACACACACACACACACAGAAACCGCTATCACAGGCATCCCTTATATAGACAGCGTGATAACCCTGCTGACTCATTCTCATTGCATCATCTCAGTTTACAGCCTTACAGCAGCTGGTCAGCTATTAAATCATCATTACCTTAACAATGAGACTCATTTTTATTGTGTATCTGTCGCTCTCCAGGAGATCGTCAACTTCAACTGTCGCAAACTGGTGGCCTCCATGCCGCTCTTTGCCAACGCCGACCCCAATTTTGTCACAGCCATGCTCACCAAACTGAGATTCGAAGTCTTTCAGCCAGGGGACTACATCATCAGGGAAGGCACCATTGGGAAGAAGATGTACTTCATTCAACATGGGGTGGTCAGTGTCCTCACCAAAGGCAACAAAGAGATGAAGCTTTCAGATGGATCCTATTTTGGAGGTGAGATAAATGAAGGCTGTCTTCATTCATGTCTGTGGCCTTCTAAGGCACAGGGACAGGTTTCCTTCCTGTTGTGGCCCACCAGTGGCCAGTGGAGCTGGCAGAAGAGTCCGACAGTGAGGAGGTTGGGGAGGAGCATGGGCCAGTCCTGAAGGCTGGGGAAAGCTTGTACGAGGGCTCTGAGTCAGATGCAGAGACAGGTTGGAGGCCATTGGGCAGTGATCAGGTGCCTACAGAGCTAGTGAGGCAGAGGAACAGCTGGAGCCTGTTCCCAGTATGAGCAAGCGCTGAACTGCCAGAAGAAAATAACAACTCAGAAATCAGGGTTGACTTGGGAGTAAAGCCACAGGTGGATGGATGGTGAATGGCCCCTCCCATAGGAAATAAAAGAGGAATGAAAGGGGAGGGGGCTTTTGCAGGAAACAATTCGTTTAGTTTGTTTGTTTGTTTCAGGAGTGTGAAGATCTGTCCGTGAATCTCAGAGACTCTGTGCCCAGTCTTTCCTTGCACAGTACTTCATTTGGGAAAATATTCACATGGCAGCTTTCTAAGGTAGATAAGGTCTGTGGTCATAAATTCACCTTTGAAAGACTGTTTGCCAGGCCTTG